TAGACCCCTTGGATGCCATTCATCCTTATGTCTGTAAATGTTAGTTGACATCCTCAGCAATTTCAATTAAGACCCTCTTGTAAGGCAGCAACCTGACTGGCATCACATTGCCACGAGACAGACGGATTTCAAGGCACTGAGCCCCGCGGTGCGTGTGGCAGGGCAGGTTCAAGGGCAGGGTGATGCTGCTGAAGGCTGCTCCCAGCATCTCGCCGCAGTACAGGAGCTGTGCCAGGGCATGGTGTGGAGTGTGGTGACCCTGCACTGGGCTGGCAGCCCGGATGGGACAGGGATGTGCTGCTGAGGCAGGATGTCACAGCTTGGTGGGAACTTGTGAAAGACTGGGGAAAAGATGCCAAAGCCAACAGCACAGAAGGGGTGTTGTACAAGGAGTGCAGAGAGGTGGAAGGGCATAGAGCCTTGTTAGGAGTGCCCTGAGGCTCGAGGCACACAAAGCCCTGAGTGTCAGGGTGTCAGTGTGGACACCAAGGGCGATTGAAAAGTGGTCTCTAGGTCAGGAAAAGCCCTCCCCATATCTTCTTTTTCCTCCAGTTGCCTGGCAGAGCAGTGTTCCCCACCACCTGGCTGCAAGGGGATGCCTAGTGTTCTTTGCTGCAGGGTGAGATCTGGGTGCAGATATCCCAGGCAGGGTGTGCACGGTGCCCTTTGAGTGCCCTTCAGGTGCTGTGTGCTGGAGATGCACTTGCAGGAGACTCAGACTCTGTTTCCTTCTCATAATGCTGGAAGGCTTTATCTGAGCCCTGGCCAGCCCCTACCCAGGCAGATCTTTCTCTGCAGCTTAGCATTGCTCTTTGCATGAACAGCATCAAGTTGGCTCCCAAGCCCCCGCTTTCTGCAGAGCTCCTGTGCCCTGTATTTGCAGGTAAAGAGATGTCTGGAAACAGCACCTGGCTGCCCTGTCCACAGCAGAGCTGGGAACCAACACCCTCCCATCACCCCCATGCTCCCGGCACCTCCCTGGGGGCTGCAGGAATTCCAGGAATGCAACTGTGATTTGGAAATTCCTGGGGGGATAGGGCAGAGGAGCGCCCAATGCTGTGTGCTCCCACTCAGAGGAGGAAGTGTGCCAGTGGTGGTAAAGTGTGGCACACCAGTACCAGGATGGAGGTGGCCTAGAGTGGGCTCTGCGCCTTTCCCCCCTCCAGGGAGCGCTTAGTCTGCAGGGTGATGCATTGCCATGGGGGCAGGAACGGGGCACATTCCTTCCCTCGCCTCTCGCTGCCTTATCTCCTGGCTGTCGGGCGGCCCCACAGTGATGGGAAGCAGAGCTGGTGCCCCCCGGCCTGCCCCCCGCCTGCGGACAAAGCCGGCTGTGCGGGATGTGCTGAGAAAAAGGGAGCTGCCAGCATCTTGCTGCCCTCCCATTGGGCTGGGTAATGAGTTACGAGGTCAACGCATGTTGCCTTTGCTGAGACCTGACCCGTCCTGTGCTGCTCCCGGAGGAAGCAGCTCGGTGGTATTTTTAGTCTCGCCAGGGAGGATGGAGAGGAGATTGTTTGCTTGGTGTCAGCTCTGCTGTGCCTGCTGCCATAGTCTGCATATTTCCCATGAGGACTGACAAAGATACTTCCTCAGTGAGTACCCCCAGTGCCCTGGTGGGCATCAGTGACCCCATGGCCAGGTTTGCAATGGGGACACGTGGGCCAGGCTTAGGGCACTTCAGTTCCAATGCTCACTGAAGGTGTGTGGGAGCCCTGAGTTGGGTGTATCCCATTGCAGTGGTGCACCCAGGCTGTTTGTTATCCCCTGGATGATTTGATCGCTCCCCCAGGCAGTCGTGACATTTTAATGGTTTATCTTATCGAGGAATTCGCTGGGAGGAAGTTTCTGTCTCTCCATGAGTAAATGTTTAGGAACGCTGCCGCGGTCCCGGGGTCTCGGCGGTGCTGTGAGGCTGCGGGTTGCATCCTCCCTGAGCCACCACCTGCATCACCAGCCTCAGTAGCTGCTGGCACACACGATACCCTGCAACCATGCAGCGTCCCTTTCCCCTGCATAAAGCACTGCCCTTTGTGAGGATTCTGCCCCGTCCCTGGAGGTATTCAAGGCCAGATTGGATGGGGCCCTGGGCAGTCTGGTCTAGCATTAGGTGGAATGGTTGGTGGCCCTGCGTGTGGCAGGGGGGTTGGAGAGTCATGATCCTTGAGGTCCCTTCCAACCCTGGCAATTCTGTGATTCTGTGATTCTGTGATTTGGAAGGCTGGGCTCACGTACGTTGCATTTATGGACTGAATTTGTGTTTGGTGTTGTTCCAAAGATGGTGCGGGGTCCCTGGAATAGGGACGGTGTGCAGCGCTGGGATATCTGTGTCCCTGTCCTGGGTGCAGCTGCTCAGCCAGGCGCCTGTCCCGCTGTCTGTCCCGCTGTCTGTCCCGCTGGCTGCATGGGAGGTCAGCGGGATGTAGCAATATCCTTAGGCCTCTTACGCGTGCGTCCTGATGAGTGCCTTTTAACTGTTGTTTGTGCTTTCGGATAGGAAGAGATTAAAATCCCAAACATCGATAGGTTTTAAAGATACCATCTGCCTCTGACAGTTGCTGGATCTTTTTCTGCTCAGTGCTTGAATGCTCCGCCTGCAGCCTCTCTGCTGGCCTAGTGCTGAGGTTTCGTCACTTCCCCAGCAGCTCTCATGCAGGACAACGCGCACAGACAGGGCAGCACCTTTGTGTGCCTCTATTTCACACCAAGGAGCTGCATATCCAGACCTGCTGTGTGCAGTGCTTTATCAGTGGGCAGCTGGCCCTACTGTTTGGCAGCAATGATTTTTAGCAACAGAAAACTCCCACAGCTCACTGCAGTCTCTCTTTGCTCCACGTCTGGGAGGCTCTGAGGTCCTGATTCCCATGCTGCTGGGAGCTTGCTGGGCTGTGGGCATGGGATGAGAGTCTTCCTTCCAGGGATGTGTCAGGGAGCTTGGGCTGCTGGTGGGCAGCAATGCTCTCAAATGTTTGCTCCGCTGCATTTTGTGCCTTTTGGAGCTGGGTGCTTTCTCATGCATCGCAGTAGGAGCAGCCTTCTGATGTTACAGGGCTTTGCTTTCTGCTAGCAAATGATGGAGCTGTGCTTTGGAAAGACTGTGGGCCGCGGTGTGTTCTCATGGGATGTCTTTTGCATCTCTGGGCTGAGCCACGTAGGGGATGGTGGAGGCACAGGGATGCCCTGGCAGCAGAACACACTCCCTTAGTACACCAAATCCTTTTCCCATTGAGAAAAGAGGCCTGGGGGGTTGTTGCCTGAGCACCTGCACTGAGGCATTCCTAACACAAATTTGGTGTGTGCAGCAGGGAGGAAGGTGACTCCTCATCCTCCCCTAGGAGCAATCTGAAATGTCCTTCTGGTAGTCCAATGGGTTGTGCTGCTATGGGACAATCTGCGGGGCTTCCTGTGCAGGGTTGGGGGCAGAGGGTGGAGGGTGGAATCAGCTGTGCTGAAGGGGCTGGGGGTATCTTGAGCAGGAGCCAAAAGCAAGAGAGGAGGCAAGGAACTGCAGGTGATGGAGGAATCAGGTTGCTCACCCTGTCTGGGCTTGCTCAGCTAAGTATGTTCAAGGGTTCCTGGCCTGGAAAGGAGAGGTCCTTGGTGGGCCAGTGACACCTAGAGACCATTGGGGTCTTGCCCTGCCCCAGCTGAGCACTCAGGTCCTGCAGTTGGAGCTGTGCTGGGTGCTATGTCCCAGTGCAGTGCCCGTGGGCACAGTAGCATCCCTTAGGGCCCCTCTGTGACCTCTACTCTGTGCAGTGCTCGGGCCTGGAGCTCCCTCTGCTGTCTGTCTGTCCATCCATCTGTTCATGCTGCTCGCCGAGCTCTGGGTGGGGAGCCCTCAAGAATGAGCAGTGTGACCCCACAGGGACTAGCTAGTAGTCCCCAGCAGCCAGCTAGGTCCGTGGGATGGGCCTTCCTGAGCGAAGCTTGTCCCCTTGGTCCCACCATCCATCCCCCAAACTCTTCCTGCTGAGAGCTCAAAGCACCACACTGGGAGGCACTATGAGCCAGCCCCACGTGTGCAGTGCTGGCACAGCACAAGCAAATATTTCCCTGGTCAGGTCTCCTGTCACAACACCATGCTCTTCCCACTGCTCTGGGGAGCAAGCAGCCAGCTTGCTGGAAACCCTTTGGCTCGGCGCCCTGCTCAAATGTGGTTATTTGTTAACCACGAGTGTGGAATATAGGTCTCAAACCAGGGCTCTCTAGGTTTTCTTTTCCTTGCACCCCATGCATGGTGCACTCGTGATCTCTGCTTGCACTGCGTCTGCGCGTTCAGCCTGCCCTGCTCCTTGGAATGCTCCTGATGGAGGCAAGGCAGCTTGCTGGGGCTTGTGGTGCTCCCACCCAGCGTTCTGCATCTCTTTGGGGGAGAAGCCGTGGGAAATGGCGCCTGCGTCCCCCTGTCCAGGGTACATTCCTCTGCCCTGCCTGCACCCCATCAACAGCCCCTTTGTGGCAAAAATGAATCTCTCCATTGTCAGGGTGCCTAAAAGGGCCATTTCTCTGCATTGCTCAGCGCGGATACTGGGGCTTTTCCTGCCCCCTCCCCCCCACTTCCCTGGGCCCCTGCAAGGATTGCTGAGCCTGGGTTTCCACCCATCCTTCCCATGGGCAGCATGACTGACAGCCCCCAGCCCTGACTCACCAGCGTGAGAAAGGGATTTGGGCTCTGTCCAGGAACAGCTTTGCTGTCCGTCTGTCCATCTGGACAGCCAGGAATGAGGCTGTCATGATGGTGCCCTGCTTTTGGACCTGTTGGGGCTTTGTGTCCAGGACCTGTGGTCAGAGCTTCCCTATGTCCTGAGTTTGGTGCAAAAAACAAGTCCCCTTTGTGTCACTTCTGAAGTGATGCATGTGCTGAGGGAGGCGTGTGTAATTAGTGGACAAGGGAAATGGCTTTCAACTAAAATAGGGGAGGTTTAGATGTTAGGAAGAAGAAATTCTTCACTCAGAGGGCGGTGAGATGATGGCACTGCTGCCCAGAGCTGTGCGTGCCCCATCTCTGGAGGTGCTCAAGGCCAGGCTGGATGGGGCCCTGGGCAGCCTGAGCTCGTGGGGCAGCCAGTCTGTGGAACGAGGGTTGGAAATGGATGGGCTCTGTGATCCCTTCCAGCCTAAGCCATGCTGTGATTCTGTGGTTCTGCGATCACCCAAGACGTGTCCTCCGAACGCTCACGTGGGGCGGAGCGGCCTTGAGAAGCAGCACGGAGCCCTGTTGGGACATGATGGGGCAGGCTGACAGTAGCTGCAAGGAGCTGCTGAGCGGGGGGTGCGCGTGGAAACCCAACCATAAAGGCAAAAAATGCATGACATTGGGTGTAGGCTGTGCTGTGTCAGGGGAAAGCTGTTCCACAAAGCACTCGTGAAACAACATCAGCTTTGGGCAGGCATATTAGCGTGGCATTATTCCTGTGCCAGCCACCATTTTAGTGGGAAAATTCGCACAAATCGCACCAAAAAGCAGCGTGGGAAGCAGTGCATGGAGCTAATAGACATCTGAGCATTAGTTTCACAGTTTTCCCGGCTACTAGAGCCTTGCCAAAAGGCTGTTTTAAAACGATCGCAAGCCTCATTGACCCTGTTTTGTTCCTGTCTAATTTCTTTACAAATTGGAACAGCGGGAGAACCAGGAGGACACTGTGGGGCTGTGGACATGGTGAAGGGTCTGAGGGTGAGATGTGTGAGGAGTGGCTGACATCCCTTGGTTTGTTTGTTTAGCCTGGAGAAGAGGAGGCTGAGGTGGTGGCCTGCAGCTCCTCACAGGGAGTGGAAGGGCAATGCTGAGTTCTGCTCTCCGGTGACAATGACAGGGCCTGAGGGAATGGCACAGAGCTGTGTGAGGTGGGGTGAGGAGAAAGCTGTTCCCCAGAGGGCACGGAGCAGCTCCCAGAGCTCAGGGAGCATTGGGACACCAACCTCAGCCACAGGGGTTGGGTTTGGGAGATGCTGCGTGGGGCTGGGGGTCAGACTGGGTGACCCTGGTGGGTCCCTTCCAACTTCTATGGTTCTCCTGGTCAACGTGAGGGGACATGGTGACATTGAGGACGTGGGCTGTCCCTGTGTGGCTCCAGCGCTGTGCTGCTTGCTGCAGGCTTTCGCAACCAGCTCCAGCAGAACTGCAGCTCCGGGCTGCTGTTACTCACACGCCCTGGCTTGGAGGCATGCTGGCGCGTGGTGCTGGGGCCCCGTCTGTGCTCCTCCGGCTCACTGTCTGCTGGCCCCACTCGCTCACCATCCTACTGCAGCACCTGGGGGTTCTGGCCTTGAAACCGAGCAAGGAAAGGGTCTTGAAAGCACTTGCTGCTCTGGGGACTGGTTGCTTTCTCGGCCAGCAGAAATCTTGGAAGTGTTTTCTGGGTCATTTTCCCTTTCCTTCCTTTGGGGCAGAAGGAGTTAAGGCAGGAGCAGCAGCAGCTGGCTAGTGTGGGCCAGGAGCCCAGGGAGCTTGCACCGCTGGCTCTGGTCCTGGGCACTGAGGGGCTCGAGCGGGTCGTGGCCCGGCTGTGTGCCCCTCGGGGGCCGTGCCTGCTGCGAGGAGGCTGGGAGAGGAGGGCTGGCGGCCGGCGGCGGGGCCACTCCTCCCAGCGCTCCGGTTTGAAGGCTGGGCGCTGGGGAGGAGAGAGCGATGCGAGCGCTGCAGGCGCCTCGCCGGGGCCGAGCTCCTGCCTCTGCCCCTGAGCCCCTCCGTTTGCGAAGCCGGGGGGCTCGCTTTCCCCTCCCCATGGCTCTGCACCACCTGGGGCTTTGGCTGCTGCTGGCTTCCTGCTGCTTCTCCTCCACTGACGCGCAGCTCCTTGACTGGATTTGGGGCAGCCCGAAAACCACGGGGACCCCCGCGGCGCCCAGCACTGCAGAGATTTCTCCCACCCTGAGCACACCTCTGAGCTCAGCAGCAGCAGGGGATGTGGCCACCACACAGCGGCACTGGCAGCCCAGCACGGCAGCACCTACAGGACAGGAGAACACTGAGAGCACGGATGGCACCGAGCAGGGGGACGGGAGCACCGCGGGGATCACGGTGCCGACCAGCACCGCATGGACCGCCGCTCCCCCTCGCAGTTCACCACCCACCCGCAGCCCCACCGAGACTCCGCGGCCCCTGGGAACGGGGAACCCCAATACGACGGAGCTGCCCCGGCAGCAGGAGGGGACAGGGGGTTCCCCGCAGAGGCCAGCAGCCGCCCGTCCAGGTAGAGCTCCTTTCCCTTTCCCATCAGGTGACAGTGCCCACCGCCCCACGGCGCAGCGACACGGAGCATCGCCCACGCCACGTGCTGCAGACCATGCTGGGACACGGGGCTGGGGACCCTGGGCCATCCCCCGGCCGTCCCCCGCCACTCCCAGTGCTGCAACACCGGGTGATGGGGACCCGAAGCGCAGCACCGACGGCGAGGGGCTGGCACTGCTTGGTGTCAGTGGGAACCAGAGCCCTTCTGCGCCCAAACTGAGGGCAGTGAGCGGTGCGGATTCTCCTCCTGCTGGTCCTCCCGAGTTCGATTTACTAACCTCCACCCTGCGAGTCGTTGGCGCGGGGCTTGCTCCCTCCTTCCCCAGACTGCTGCCAGCAGGTGGGCGCTGCCTGCCCCTCCCAGCCCACCTGCCCTTCTGCTCCGTTCTGGGCACCAACCATGTCAGATTGCCGAATTATCTCAGCCATGGCAGCGAGGTGGAAATTCGGGCTGCTTTGCATGAGTGGGAGGGGCTGCTTGAGTCTCGTTGCCACCGCTTCTTGGAGTGGTTCCTCTGCTTGCTCCTGGTCCCTGGGTGTAGTGCCTCGGTCCCCGTAACCCCCCCGCCATGCCAGGGCTTCTGTGAGGCCGTCAGAGACCTGTGCTGGATGCATTCGGCTGGTGGGCATCTGCCTCTGCCCTGTGACTCTCTCCCCAAGGAGGACGGAGGGTATTCTTGTGTCTTTGTTAATGTGTCCGCAGGTAATGTGGCTGGTGACCCTTGTTCATGTCTTCCTTCTGCATGTCTCACCAGCTAAAGCCTTCCAGAGCTCCAAGGGATGCTACTGCCTCGTCTCTGTGGGAGACCCCTGGCCAAAAGCCTCTCTGCCCTGCCTCAGTTTTTGGGTTGGCTCCTTCTGCAAAGAGGAGCGTCCTTGTCCCATCCTCAGGTTGTCCCCACTGGTGCGGGATGTGGAGCTCACCATGGGGGCTTCAAGGTGACCCCAGGCTGCAGCTGGAGGGAGCCACAGGGCATCGCTCCCCAGCATGGGGCCAGGGCTGTGACCTCACATACGCACACCCACATGTCTGCTGCCCTGCCGTGGGGTTAATGATTTACCCACAGCTAATGTTTGATCCCCCTACTCAGAAAGCAGGAGAGGTGCTTGGTGCTCAACTATTGCCATGAAGTGCTTTTGAGCCCTGTGTGACTTAGGCAGCAGCTAAGGCCTCCTTGGCGGGGTGAGGAGCCAAGGGTGGCAGCTTGGGGACAGAAACACCCCCAGGAACAGGGGATGAAAGCCTGAATGGGAACTCCTACTGCTGCCCCTTGCAGCTCCATTGAATGGGGCTGTGTTCTCATGCTGGACCCTGTGCCCTCAGGTGACGTGGAGCAGACGAGTCTGGGGGACAAGGAAGGCGCAAATGGCCTTGTTGGCCCCCTGGTCTGTCAAAGCAGCTCTCTGTGGGATGCGGCGGGAAGGGGGAGAGGCGGGGATGCAGAGCAGCCTTGAGCATCTCTGGAGCTCTTCCAAGGGCAGCGGGAGCCAAAGCTCGGTCACTGTGGCCCCAGGCATCCCTGTGTGATTCCGTGCCAGCGCCACCTGGAACTGCGATGGTGTCCATGGGAGAACTGCGTGGCCAGCTCTGGGGGTTCTGGCAGTCCTCCACTGAAATCCATGGGCTGCCCAGAAGTCTCTCTGGGACAGCTTAGGGTTGGGATGAAGCCATGGCTGGGGGATTCCCCTGCTGCCCGCTGCACATGATCAGGAATATCGGCGAGGCGGGAGTCCCGCTGCGGGGGTGAGCGCACAATGTCGCATTGTAGTTGACGGCACTGGGATGTGAGTGCCGTGCTGCTGGCAGATTGACCATCCCCACCCCGCAGATGGGATCTGGATGTGTCTGTGGCCATCGTGGGCTTGCTCGCGTGTTGCAAGGTGCGAGCCTGTTTTCTTTGGGAAGCTTCCTTGTATCGTCACCCAACTCCTGCTCTGAGCCAGGGCGCAAGTGGTGTGTTTGGAGAGAAAGGGGGAACCCAGAGATGGTTGAAATACCAAGGGAAGCAGGACTGCGAATTGCATTGCTAACAAAAGCCTCTTTCAGCCTTTCTCCCCCCCCCCCTCCTCAAGCCTCAAGGCAGAGAACGGGCTATCTGCATGAAGAATTGCAGAGATGGCTCCTACACCCCTGTCTGCATGGACCCCTGCCTGCATGGACCCCTGGGAGGAAGCTCTGATTTCCTCTTAGCATAAAGCTTTTCTGAATTTGGCTTCCTCCAAGCCAAGATAAGCACTATGCATGCTTCCCAGTGGTGTCTCTTGAGGTCAGGGCTGCTGCACAGAGGAGCAGCTGGCGCAGCACTGCATGGCATGGCTCAGTACAATGGGAGCTGCTTTGCCTTATGCCTGCATGTGCCATCATGTGTGGGGCAACTCGTGGTTGGCTGCCATCCACAGAACTGAGGTTGGCAGAGAGAAATATCCCCCTGCCTCTAGAATGAGGCATTTCTGATGTCCCTCCGGCAGGACCAGCCCTGGCTTGGCAGCCACAGGAGCTTGGGGTGCTCTGTGTGCTCAGATGCCCCCCTGCTTTGGAATAGAAACCCAGGTATTTGTCTCTTCCTACCATTACAAAGGACATATTTCCCTCCCAGACTGGGCTAGGCTGGGCTGGGCTGATTTTTTTTTTTTTTAAATATATATTTGGTTTTCTTTTTTAAGTACTCTGGAGGAAAATGCCTTGCTTCAGAGCAGGGTGGGGGTTCCCAGGCTCCTGCACACCCCAATACACCCCAATACACCCAATATACCTGGCTTGTGTCCGGCAGCAGGGAGAGGGGCACTGGATTGTTTCAGCTCCTCATAGAGGCTCTTTGTGCCCTCCTGACTGGCAGCAAGGAGCCCAATCCCATGCTGCAGTCCTTGGCTGTTTTGGGGACCCCAGAATGTGAACATGCAGCTGGGAGCGGCTGTTGGATATCTTCTTGCTCCTGGGAGATCTGGAGTTAAAAATCACCGACTCACAGCACGCTTGCTTACTCGCTCGCATCAAGTTGGCACCGGCCCGAATGGTTGACATAGGAGAGGAGGAATCCAGCGCCCATTGTGTGGGCGATGAGGATGTGCGTGCTGCCAAAACAACAGGAGTTTGCATCCAGAGGGCTGGCTCACACGGCCAGATGTTCAGCTGTGCCTGGTAGGAGAGACCGTCCTGACCAGAACTCCCTGAAGTGCCTTGAGAAAATGAGCTGGGGCAGGAGAGGAGCTCGAAATTGAGATCATCTGGGAAGCCGGCAGGGTGCATGTCAGTCCCAGCCGCTTTCCCAGGCGGTGCAAGGAAAGGGCTGGGCTGGTTCCCAGCCGTGGTGACCCTATGGGGACAGGGTGATGCAAGGCTGGTCACAACTTTGGAGCAGGCGTGAGTGTGCAGCGAGGGCACAACACACAGCTGCACCTGTGAGATATCTCATTTTATTTGAGCTCTGGTATGCCACACCACTCTAACTGGAGAGCCAGCAGCAGGGATTGGGATGCGTTTGGGGAGCTGCATCCTCGTTCTGCAGCTTGAGGAACACTGCTGCCTCATCTGGCTTGTGGCCCTGCTCCGCAGCACCCACTCTGTTCCAATGCATATCCTGGCCCTTGAGTATGGTACTGTTCCATTATGTGGATGTGCTTACCTGTACCCTAGCGCCTTTTGACCAGGAGAAAGGTTGTCCATCCAGATCCAGCAGAGCAGCAGCCCACTGGAGACTTGAGACCTCTCTTGCCGTGTGTAAAAATTCCTCTTGTTTTCTGGAGAAGGGCCCTCCTTCCCTCTGGGAAGCTGCATCTGTCCAGGCAGTGGGGTTGGGAGCAGGGTTAGCTGCAGGGAAAAGCATTGAAATGTTCCTCTTGGGATGGTGAGTGTTGGGGTCACATCCACAAGATGAGAAAATGAAGTAGCTATTAATTGGCGCAGGCTCAAAATAGCCTGAAAGCTCACTGCTTGGTTCCCTCGTGGCTGGATGGGTCTTTTAGGTTCAGCAGCTGCGATGTGAAGCAGAGCCCCCAGCTGCCTAATGTCCCCAGACTGTGGAGCAGCATCACTGGGGAGTGGTGGGTGGCCCTGGGCAGTGTCCCCAAAGGCACTGGAGCAGAGGGACCTGCTGAAGTTGCGTGTCCTTGCTGTGCTGTTTGTCACCATCCCCTCTCCCTCCTCTTTGCAGAGAACCTGAGCAGTGAGGTCAGCCTCCTGGAGCTGATTGGAGACCCGCCACCAGAGGGGATCGTCAAAATCTACGGCCACGAGAACAGACCTGGCTATGTCTTTGGACCCAATGCCAACACAGGCCAGGTGGCCCGGTACCACCTGCCCAGCCCCTTCTACCGAGACTTTTCTCTCCTCTTTCACATCCAGCCCACCACCCCGCGGGCCGGCGTGCTCTTTGCCATCACAGACTCCACGCAGAGCATCATCTACGTGGGTGTTAAGCTCTCAGACCTGCAGATGGGCAAGCAGCAGATCATCTTCTACTATACTGAGCCAGGCTCACAGAGCTCCTATGCGGCTGCCACCTTCACCGTGCCCACCTTGCTCAACCAATGGACAAACTTTGCTATCAGCGTGGAGGAGGACGAAGTCATCCTCTACCTGGACTGTGAGGAGCATGAGCGGGTCCGCTTTGAGCGCTCTCCAGATGAGATGGAACTGGAAGAAGGTGCCGGGCTCTTTGTTGGTCAGGCTGGAGGGGCTGACCCAGATAAATACCAGGTAATGCCTTGGTCATCCCAACCAGCAGCATCTGAGGAGGAGAGAGGCTGTAGCGATGTGTCACCAGCCCGTTGGTTCAAAGAGATTGAACTGACCTCTTTGGCAAGACAAACCAGAGGACATTCTCTGTATGCATCACCTAGGCAAGAGGGATTGGCTTAAGGTGCCATCATGTTATGTCCTTGGGCATCCCCAAAGCAAAGGGGGTGATGTGGTAGCGCTGTAACATCCACCATGACCCCCATTTCAGCAAATGCTCTTTTTGAGCCTCCTCTTACTAAAAATACCCTTCTCCTTTGGTGCCTGCTAACTGGGCTGGTGAACTGTCTCTCTTAGCTGGAAAAAATGTCCAGGCTGGAACATATCTTTCTTGGGCCTTATCTACAGGAAGACGGATGAGAGCTGGGAGGGAAGGTGATAGCTCAGTCCGTGGCTTGAGAATGGTTCATGTGTTAGATAAGATTTACTGAAAGTGTGGGGAAAATGCAGCTGACATGGAAATCCCCCACTGTGAAGTTTCACTGCTCTGTGAAGTTTCATTTGGGTTGTGTGCACTGCCCAACACTGGGACAGTGCTTCTACCAAGAAGCTTTGCAGAGTGCATTTGTGAAATTAAACGTTGCCTTGGCACGTGAGCAGAGCTGTTAAACCATGTAGAGCAGGAGGCTGCAGAAGGCTCCCCAGAAGGTGTTAATGATTGATGCACTGTGGACCAGTGGTTGAGGAGGCTCCAAAAGGTCTCAAGGGCAACCTCTTTCTTTGATCTTGCTGGGGTGGCAAGCCACAGCCATGGAGGAAATCCTCCCCAGGAGGTTTGGTGGAGATTTGGCTGGCAGATGCAGGAAAAAACAGCCTGGAGCAAAGCATAGACGCTTTTGCCTTCCTAGCAAGTAATGTTTGTGCCTTGCAGAGAAGGCTGTGAGCAAGCTCTTGCAGGATGGCCCTCCTGTTGTCCGCCCCCAGTTCTCCTGCAGGGAATAAGCAGGCATCAGGGAAGGGGAGGCTGAGTCCTTGCAGCTCCCCAGGTTCTGCCCAGCAGGCTCAGCATCTGCCCGGCATCTGACTGCCTCATGACCCAGCCCATGCTATTTGCAGTCGACAAGGCTGATTAAATCCTGGCCTCCAGACAAGCAGCAGAGCCAGCCATTGGCAGGCAGCATTTACCATAGAATATCCTGCATTGGAAGGGACCCATAAGGATCAGCTCCTAGGGTGTGCTGGATATCGGTGGTACAGAGCTGAGCATCCCCCCAGGAGATGGGCTGGAGAAGCTCAGAGCCCATGTGGGTGGCATTTCCTTGGGGGGTGGTTGTAGTTCTATATATTTTTATGTACAGATAGACAGCTAACAGCCAACCTGGCTGCACTGCAGCTGCCTCTCATTCTTGTTTTCTCAAACCCCTCGTGTTTCCTGAGCGCGCTGTGCTTTCAAGCAAGCTGAAATGTTGTTTTAGGTGTCCTGCCCAACGACAAGGCATCTTTCCTCTTCCAGCCCTCCTCCCTGCTGGGATCAGAGCATGGCCATGTCCTGTCCTGGCAGCGAGGAGCTGGGCTTTGCCGGGTGGTGCAGTGCCCTCCTAGCAGGTAGCTCTGCTGTGAGCCTCTTCCTGAGGTGGCCTACTTAGGAAAGAATTTGTGGAGGTTTGTTGTATAAATAAGCATTCTGAATGCGCACAACGCTTGCAAAACCCAAATAAATGGTAAGGAAGTGGGGATTAGGCTAAGAAATACAAAATCGGAGCTTTCCAGCAGCAGGCTGGAGCTGGCAGGTGTCCCTTGCTGGGAAGTGGTGAAGAAGAGAGGCCAGTTGGGATGGGGAATGCTCTGGCAAGGGGGAAATGAAGAGCACATCCTGAAGACTTGCAGTAAAAGCCTTGCTGTCTGGCTGCCCAAAGCCCTTCTGCAGCCTCTTGGTGACAGAGCAGGCAGATGGCTTTTTTGCTAAGGCTCAGCATCTGGCAGCGCAGGGCTGGTGTGATCCACCTCCGTTCTGGGGATGTGGTGGCAGGGCAGGAAGGACCTGGTGTGCATCCGTCCCCAGTGACACGATGTCTTGCAGGGTGTGATTGCTGACCTGAGGCTGAGAGGGGATCCGCGGGCGGCCGAGTACCATTGCGAGGAGGAGGATGACACCGAGGTGAGCACAGAGCAGATGCAGCCTGGGGGGGCTCCTCCTCAGCTCCTGGGCTGAACCACTGTCTCTCCCCGGCTGAGTGCAGGCATCTGGAGATTTCGGCAGCGGGGCAGAGGACAGGCACCGTCCCTCGGGGAAGGATAAGGTGAGTTGGCATTGCGCTCAGTGGTAATACACAGACTGGGGGAACTCAAAGTCAGTGTCCCCTTGTCACTGGCACAGGGCATCCCAGGGCTGCTGGATGCTGTCCCTGTCACCTCCCCGCCTGTGGTGGATGGCAGTGAGACAAGGAGCAGTGTGGGATCCCCCCAGCAGGCAGAAAGGACCAGAGTAGAGGAGAGGCTGCAGGTCTCCACAGGAGGTAATGGCAGCTGTCCCCTTCCCATCGTGCCACCACACTAGTGGTGCTGGTCCCTGGCACAACTGGGTCTATCTGCCATACCTGCAGGCACAGGCCCCAAAGGTGAAAAAGGGGAGAAAGGTGAACGTGGCCTGAAGGGGGACTCGGGGACCAGTGGCATCTTGGGCCCAGGCACTGCCAAGGGCGAGAAGGTAAGCAAGGGGCTTTCAGAGCTGCCTCTCCCACCAGTCTGCAGCAGTGTGTCCACGTTTGACGCTCATCTGTCTCCATTTCTGTTCCACAGGGGGAGAAAGGTGAATTGGGCATCAAGGTGAGCACTGCTGGAGAGCTGGGCAGGGCTGTAGGGCCAAGCTGTGTCCATGTTGGCCACAAACCCTGGGGTGCAAAGAAGTCACGCCACTGGGCACGGTCAGATGCTTTCCTGTCTCCTCCACAGGGCAGCGCTGGATTTGGCTACCCTGGCTCCAAGGGCCAGAAAGGTGAGCCTGGAGAGCCTGGCCCCCCTGGCCCTCTCTCACGGCATACTGATGGCATGTCACTGGAGCAAGTCACTGGCCCCCCTGGCCCCACTGGCCCCCCAGGGAAGGATGGGGCCCCTGGCAGGGATGGCGAACCTGTGAGTCAAGCCCCCCTCTTGTGCTCCCCATTTTCCCCCTGTGCTCCACTTATCTCCCTCCTTTGCCATCCCTAGGGTGATCCTGGCGAGGACGGCAAACCTGTAAGTGGGAAGGGTTGCGGGATACTGCACAGGACAGCTGCTCTGTGCCCCACCACCCACTGATGCCTATTCCCCTGCTCCCCTTTACAGGGTGAGATGGGGCCCCAAGGGTTCCCAGGGACACCAGGAGAGTCTGGGCAGAAGGGAGAGAAGGTGAGTAAGCATGCTGGTGGCCATGCTGGTGGCCATACCAATGACTGTGGCCACAGTGGAGCAGGCAACTAGCCTGTGCTTGTGAACCATGATCTCTTCTCCATCCCACAGGGTGACCCCGGTGTGGGACCAAGGGGCCCCCCGGGGCCACCAGGTCCCCCTGGACCTCCAGGACCCTCCTCCAAGCAGGACGGGCTGGTAGGTACCCCTGGAACCTGGGAGGCTGTAGAACATTGCATGGAGACACCGTGGGACAGCATCCTTGTGCCATCAGGCACCTCAGCCCTGATATTTCATCTGTGCTTCTTCCCTAGACATTCATCGACATGGAGGGCTCCGGGTTCGGTGGTGACCTGGAGACCCTGCGGGTGAGTGCAAGACCCCTTCTCTGCAAGGAGTGAGGGATGCACTGGGCCATTGTCCCCTTCTTCTTTTGTAGGGACCACGAGGGCCACCTGGTCCCCCAGGTCCCCCAGGCGTGCCTGGCTTGCCAGGGGAGCCAGGAAGGTTTGGGATGAACAGCACAGACCTGCCAGGACCACCAGGGCTGCCAGGCAGAGATGGAACCCCTGGGCCCCCGGGTCCAGAGGTAAGTGCTGAGTGACCAAGAGGACCATCCCAGGGCTGTCCCATAGTGGTGGCAGCTCTGTACCCACTGAAGCCACATGCACTGAAGGTGCCTCCTGGGCATCTTGCAGGGTCCTCTAGGTCCTCCTGGAAAAGATGGGATGCCTGGACCGCCAGGGCCCAAAGGAGAGCGGGTGAGCATCCCTTGTTCCACGCACCCAGAATGTCTCTGCTCTCTCCTGAGGCAGCTGGTGCTTGATCCCCCTGGAGCATCGCTGGAGGCCTCAGCTCCATTGGCCCCCAGCTCACTCCTCTTAACAACTTCTTCTTCCTCCTCCTCTCCAGGGTGATGTGGGCGAGCTTGGTCTCCCTGGAGCACCAGGACCCAAGGTAAGGTTCTCTGGGGTGCTGCACTGGAGGTAAATCTTGTGCCACATGGAGAGGGGACTGCTGGAACTCTTGGTTCCCTGGCTCAGGGGTGCATGGGGCTGCTACCCACGCAGTATTGTGGGTCAGTAAGATGTCCCCAAGCCTGGAGCACAAAGGGAGGGGTGAACTACCCACAAGGGAAATGTTTTTCTGCCTTTAAACATGAGAATACCCTTTAAAGGAGCCAGTGGGCACGTGTACCTGCTTGGAAACACACTGTCTTCTTGCACATCTTTCTTCTCTCTGTCTCCACTCCTCCTCTAACCAGAGCAAACCACCTCCTCTCCCCTCCTGCCTGCTCCGGCTTCTTTCTTTCCCTGCCTCTGGGAGAGGCAAGAGGTAACAGCATGCAGATGGCATGTCTGGAACCGCATGCTTGTCCTTTCCCTTCCTATGGGGTGAGGCTGCCCCTTGCCCACCACAGCCCCAGAGCTGAGCTGGGGGCAGGAGCTTCAAGCTGGGGCCAGAGCTTCGTGAATTGATATTCCCAGGTGTTATGAGCACTGAGGGCATAGGTGGGGTGTGAGATGGAGGGTGCACCACTTAGACACCCATAAAAAAATGTGGGATGCATGCGAGTGTCCCCCTTTGGTGCAAAGTTCACTCCCGTGTCATGAAACAGAAAAAAAGGGCAGCATGAAAAAGAAAAAAAAGAGAAAAAGAAGTATTTATGATTGTAGAAGAGCCTCTGGTGGCCACCATGCACATTGCACAGTGACCTGGGGCATTGTGCTATGTAGGGATGGCTCTGCACATCCCATCCACTTTGTTCTTTTCCCTTTGCAGGGCAACAAGGGAGAAGCAGGACCAGTAGGTCCCCCAGGAGAGACTGGCTTGGCTGGCCTTCCCGGGCCAGTTGGACCCCGAGGGCAGCCAGGGCCCCCAGGGCCCCCAGGTCCACCAGGGCCAGGGTACGACGCTGGATTTGTAAGTGCTGGGAGCTTTCATGGGGATGATGGCAGTGCTTGCAGGGTGAGGGGGATAGGCACAGCTCAGCCCCTTCTCCTGTCACAGGGTGACATGGAGGGCTCTGGACTGCCACTCGCCACCGGCTCCCCTGGACCACGTGGCCCCAGTGGACCACAGGTAGCTTCTGTTGCACTCCATCCCTCCCTCCTGCCCTCATCTGGTGTGTACCATGTGGCTCCTGTGTGCTCATGTTCCTTCGTCTTTGTGGCTTCCACAGGGTGTGCCAGGACTACCAGGGATCAAGGGTGAGGTGGGCAGCCTCGGGCAGCCTGGCCCTCCAGGCCCAAAGGTAGGAGTGGGATGCTGGGAGGGATGGGATGGTGAGACATGTCTCACACCAGTGCTGTGCCTGTGCCTCACACCATCCTGATGCTCTTACAGGGGGATGCTGGTGTGCCTGGTGTGGATGGCCGCCCTGGCTTGGAGGGCTTCCCTGGACCACAGGTAGGAGCCACAGCCCCATGCCTGCCCCAAACCCTGCTCCTTGCTCCAGACACGGATGCTGTGTCCCCATCAGTTCATGGGCACCTCCATGCTTCCCACCTTATAGGACCAGGGCCTTCCTTATGCTCAACCCATGCTTCCATTCCCTTGCAGGGTCCGAAAGGCAACCGTGGCAGCCCTGGTGAGAAGGTGGGTGTGGGCTGGGCAGTGCTGTGATGTGAGTGGGGCTCCTTGGTGGCATCTGGGTCTGACAACTTGTGTCCTGCAGGGTGAACGAGGCCAAGATGGCGTGGGGCTGCCAGGCCCCCCTGGCCCACCGGGTCCCCCCGGACAGGTCATCTACATCTCAAGTGAGGATGTAAGTAATGGCTTCTGGCTCTGTCGGGTTGGTGCCCAAGTACTGTGCTATTCCCATGCTGGGGGGAGATGAAGCTGGAGGGAAAAGGGCCTGTCCTGCTCCTGTTACATGGAAAAAACAGGGGACCTCTGCGGTAGCTCTGTCTGTGCTGCAGGCTGGCCTCCAGAGCAAAGATTCCATTAAAAAAAAATGTTTTGACTGTTCTTCCAGAGGCCTTTGTCAGCTCTGCCGGGCCCAGAGGTAGGTACCTCCCCATGGCACATACCTCCCCTATCCATACCTCGGCAGTGCTTGTGAACAGCCACCTCTTTGCTCACTGTGTGCTCTTCCTGCAGGGCAGACCAGGACATGCTGGTTTCCCGGTGAGTGTCGGGGTGCCAGCAGTGGGGAGCAGTGGGGCAGCCTCTGGGTACCAGCTGGGTAGCTGATGTGGGCTCTGCTCCTCTGTATAGGGCCCAGTGGGACCGAAGGGGGATCCAGGATCACCAGGCATCCAAGGTGCACCAGGGATGAAGGTAACAGCTTCTGGTCCCTCATTCTTCTGGCTGGTGCCAGCCCTACGACACTGGGTGTGTGTTCCATTTGTATGCCTCTTGCAGGGAGAGAAGGGAGAGCCCGGCGTCATCATCAGCCCAGATGGGACCATTGTTGCTGCCAACATGAAAGGACAGAAGGTGAGTGTACCGTGCTGGAGCACGGTGCTGCTGGTGGTGCTGCCATCCTGATGCTGATGACATTTCCCTGTCTGACATTTCCACAGGGGGAGCCTGGGCTGCCAGGACCAATGGGTCCATCCGTAAGTCAGCATCGCTACTCTCCTTGTGCCCGTGGAGGGATGGGGCTTCTCCATCACTGAACGTTCCTGTCCTCTCTCTTCTCCCTCCAGGGCCCCCATGGACGAGCAGGGATGAAGGGAGAAATTGGCTTTCCAGGCAGGCCTGTAAGACCCATTCTTGGTTTGTTTCCATCCCTTCCTCTGTCTCTGGGCCACTGCCTCCTTCTTGGTGCTTCCCCAGCATGCCCACCTGACCCCAAACCATTGTGTCCGCACGGGATGGTGGAAATGGAAGCAATGCTGGGGAGGGAACGCAAGGGCAGGAACACCAGCACTGTCCTTTGTACATGGAGACAGGAGTGAGGCTGATGTTGTGCTGCTCCTCTTCAGGGACGTCCTGGCATGAATGGGCTGAAGGGCGAGAAGGGCGACCCAGTGGACATCAGTGGTATGCTGAGCTTGCGGGTGAGTGCAGCTGCATGGAAAGGAGAACAGGGGACCAAAGGGTCCTGCATCCTTTGGCACAGTCCTCTATGGGAACCTATTGCACTGTCCAGGACCCTGATGCATCTTCTCTCCTCCTCCAGGGTCTTCCTGGCCCCCCAGGTCCCCCCGGCCCTCCCGGGCCACCTGGCAGTGTGGTCTATGACAGTAACAATGTGAGTAGTGCTGCAGTCCTCTCGGTGCTTAGTGGGGTTGGAGAGGGCACCCCAGTGCTATCTGCCAGAGCTGGCACATGGGCTGGCACCAGCAGCTGCTTTCTGTGTGTCCCTGCAGGGCTTCAGCGATGCCAGCCGTCCCGCCTTCCCAGGTAAGGGGAGTTTTGCACCCTGGCACCTCCTGGCAGCCTGGGGACCTCAACCAAGGGTGCCTCTGTTGGAGTGGTGGCTGTGGGGCTGCATCTCTGAGATGGTATCACCCATGTGCTCCCCACAGGTTTCCACCAGTTTCCAGGTCAGAAGGGAGAGAAAGGAGATGTGGGTGCCCCTGGGCCCCCAGGTGAGTGGCACATCCCTATGGACAGAGAGACAAGTGACAAGTGGTGGGTGCCCTGTTCACACTCTCTCTCTTCTCTCCCCAGGCCAGTTCCCCTATGACCTGAGCCGGTTCAGTGCCAGCCTGCGGGTAAGCTTTGCCTCGTGAGGATGTCCTCAGTACCTTGCCTGGTGCCATGTGGGGCTGTGGGGTGCACCCAACTGCTTGTCCTAAGGGCACACTGTCCCACAGGGTGACAAGGGAGAGGCAGGTCCCAAAGGAGAGAAGGGCGAGCCAGGTGGTTCCACACTCTATGGCCCCAGTGTCACTGGGCCACCAGGGCCCCAGGGCTACCCAGGTCCACCGGTGAGTACTGCACACCCTGCTGTGAGTACCCTGCACCCTGATGGTGGGTACCCCATCATACAGGGGGCAGCAATGCTCTGGGTGCTGGGGCTGTGCCTTTGTTTCAGGGATGCTCTTTCACACTATCCAGGGTCCCAAAGGGGACAGCATTGTTGGGCCACCGGGGCCTCCTGGACCACAGGGACCCCCTGGCATTGGCTACGAAGGGCGGCAAGGCCCCCCAGGCCCTCCCGGCCCCCCTGGGCCACCCTCTTTCCCAGGTCCCCACAGACAAGGTGAGTTCCAGCCCTGTGTCTCTGCCTGCTCTCCGACATAGGACATCACTCACCATCTCACTCTCTTTCCACCCAGCAATCAGCATCCCCGGCCCCCCTGGACCACCAGGCCCCCCTGGGCCACCAGGCACCAGTGGGACATCTCTGGGGGTGAGTTGGGGCAGGAATGGGTTGAAGGTGTCACCATGTCCCCACACCGAGGCTAAGCCCTGTCTCTGTGTGCCTGCAGCTGCGTGCCATGCCCACGTACCAGGCGATGCTGAGTGCTGCACACGAGCTGCCTGAGGGAGGACTCATCTTCCTGACCGACCGGCAGGAGCTCTACGTCCGCCTTCGTGGGGGCTTCCGCAGAGTTCTGGTGAGTGGGGACAGGTGGCACTAGGCTGCTCCAGTTGGGGTTTGACACCATCCTTCTGGAGATGCTCTTGGGGAGGGAAGAGCAGCTCTGCTCTCACACACCGTGTCCTTGCAGCTGGAGGAGCACACCCTGGTCCCTAGCTCTGCGCTGGTGAGTCCCATCCCTGTCCCCTCCATGTCCTCCGCGCAGGTTTGGGCAGCCCTGAGAGCTCTCTCCCTTTTGCCTCAGGATAATGAGGTATACGACAAGCTGCCCAGCATTCACTACGGAGGGGCCCAGCAACCTGTGCACCCCCTGCGCAACCACAACCCCCCGCCCACTGCCCGGCCCTGGCGTGGGGATGAGGTGGTGGCCAACCAGCACCGCCTGCCCCAGCCACCTCTGCTGCAGCAGCATGAGCTCCTCAACAGCTATTACATCCACCGCTGGCCGGATCCAGCCCCCGTGGCTGCCCATGTGCATCAGGACTTCCAGCCTGCTGTGAGTGATGCCAGTCCGTGCCCTGGGTAGGGAGATGATGTGGGGTATGGCGTGTCCCAAACATTGCTCATCTCCTTTGCAGCTGCACCTGGTGGCCCTGAACACCCCACTGAGTGGTGGCATGCGTGGCATTCGTGGCGCTGACTTCCAGTGCTTCCAGCAAGCCCGGCAGGTCGGGCTGGCCGGCACCTTCCGTGCCTTCCTCTCCTCCCGCCTGCAGGACCTGTACAGCATCGTGCGCAGGGCCGACCGCACCTCTGTGCCCATCGTCAACCTCCGGGTATGGCCCCAGCCCCTTCCTCCATGTGGCACCCAGAGCTGCCATCAGACTGCTTGGCAGGAACGGTGACTGCAGAGCATCCCCTACTTGGGGCTGCTGGGAGCCACAAGTCAGAGTTCTGGAGCTCCAGAACTCTTGGGATGGGCTGACACCCATTTCTGCCCCCAGGACGAGGTGCTTTTCAGTAATTGGGAAGCCCTCTTCACCGGCAGCGAGGCGCCGCTGCGGGCTGGAGCCCGCATCCTCTCCTTTGATGGCCGGGACGTCCTGCAGGACTCGGCATGGTGAGTGCAGGGCTGCTGTGCCTGCCAGGTTGCAGGATGTGGCTGTTGCAGGCAGAGAGGGGACAGGGTTGGAATGGGCACACTGAGTACCTCGCACTGCATCCTGTGCTGACCATCCCTGAGCATCGGGTATGGCATACTGCATCCTGCCCCGGCCATCCCTGCAGGGAGGGTGGCTGGGGACTGGATCCCATCACAGCAGCCTCACATCCCTCTGTCTTTCAGGCCACAGAAGAGCATCTGGCACGGTTCGGATGCCAAGGGCCGTCGCCTGCCCGAGAGCTACTGTGAGGCGTGGCGGACGGACGAGCGTGGAACCAGCGGGCAGGCTTCCTCACTGAGCTCAGGCAAGCTCCTGGAGCAGTCAGCCAGCAGCTGTCAGCATGCCTTTGTCGTCCTCTGCATTGAGAACAGCTTCATGACTGCCGCCAAAAAATGACCCTGCTCTCTGAGCACTGCACACCTCCTTGGGGAGGTTCTGCTCCCCGCCACGCTCCTGCCTTCACCCCACTGGGTTTCTTCTCCCCCAGACCTAAAGCCAAAGAGTATCGCCATTGCCACTGCTCTGGCCTGGAGGGGGCTCACCCCTATCCTTGAGGATCAGGGCAGCTGTGGGCTGGCTGCCTTCTTCCTCCTGTACCTCTGGTTCCACTTCTTTTCTAACCCCTTGTGTTTAACCACTTCAGCCATACCCTTGTGTCAGCCACCCGCTCCTCCTCCCTGCTCAAATACTCACCAGGGAGGTTGGGTGGGGAAGGATGCTCCGCAGAGAGGTTTTGGAGATGCTATGCAGAGTCACCTGCTGGAAAGCCCTGCTCTGTCCTGGCCAGGAGCTCAAGGCCAGCCCCAAATCCACATTGCAAGGGCTGTGGCATCTCCAGCCCACCCAAGGAGGACCCCAGCTGTCCCCTCCTAGTTGAGGGACCGTCCCGTGTGGTGGTGATGGGGTTCCCCAGTGCCCTGCTCCTCTGCAGTCTCCGTCCTCCCCAGGTAAGACCCATCCCACCCAGCCCTGCACCTCCTCTCCATCACCCATCCCTCACCGGGCACAAGGTGAGCCCTGGGGTCTGGTCCCCATATCCGCCCCAAAGCCCTGCTCCATTTCTGCCTACCCCTGTATAGGGTCAGGCTCCCAGCCCTCTGTGAGCTCCCTGCCCCAGGTGCTTTCAGCACAGCTCAGTGGGGACTGAGGGGGTGCACAGGGCAGTGGGGCAGCCCCACAGCTGGGGCAGGAGTGGGGTGGCCCGGCATACCCTTGGCATGTGTTTACGTGCGTTTGCGTGTGTGTGCATGTTGACCACATGTGGTACCTAGGCCAGACACCGCCAGCACCTGCTGGGCCACTGCTATTGTGCCCCGGGGGCCACGGTGGAGCAAAGACATTTGCATTGGTGTGGGCATATCCAAGGTGCTAAAGAAAAAAAAAAGATAAATCTGTAACTAGCTTTTTATTATTTTATGGAAATTATTACCATAAAAGCTGTGCGAGTCACACGGCCTCTATTTCTTACAGTCTACTGTATTTTGTGTAATTAATGCAATTTAAAGCCTGTGGATCTTTATATTTTTTGTCATTTGTGTCCCATAAACCATTTTCTAAAGGCACTGAATAAAAAAACGTTATTCTCTTGTAGCCTGGCTCCGCACAGCTCTGCAGGACAACAGGGCTACCCCTTGTGTGGTACCCTTTGGTGCTGCGACAGGCATCCTGCCTCTGCTGGGGAATGTTTGGGCCCCAAGTAGGGGGTGGAAGATGACTTTCGGGGCTGGGTGCTAGCTGTGTACTGCCAGCATCTTGCTGGTCACGGGGCAGCCGGGGCAGAAAGCTCAGCACTGTCAGAAAGATGGAAGCATGTGCTGGCGGTGACGCTCGTTGGTTGAGCCATGACCAAGGTTGACTGAGCCATGCCAAAGGAGCTTGTCCATCCTGCCATCCTGTCTCGCTGGGTGCTGGCACTCAGGCTTGCACGGTAGCTGCCTCAGGGCTCTTCTCCTGCACTTGCCCCTCAATGGGGATCAGCTCTGGTGGCTGCGCACGGCGGCTGTGCCGGATGACCACCACCACGGCCATCAGCAGGTAGATCAGTGCCAGCAGTGAAAAGTAGCCAAAGTAGACGTAGAACTGCAAGAGAGTAGTTCTGCAGCCAGCCCTGTGCCACTACGGGAACCCGCCCTCCTTGGTGCTCCCCAGCCCCGTCCTACCTGGGGATGCACAGAGAGACCCAAGCCCCTCTTGTCAGCCACAATGATGGTGATGACGGTCTTCAGCACGGTGCCGAAGAATGTGTTGACCCCGAAGACGAGGGCACAGAGCTCTTTGGATAAGGAGGTAGCTATCTGGAAACTGAGAGATGAGAAGGGGGGTGAGCACCAGCCCCATCAGCACCCCACACAAACACCCCAAAGCCCTCCCAATGAGGAGTTGGAGTACCACGCACATGGCGATGGGAACCAGAAACTGGTAGGAGCCACGGAAGAGGACATAGGCTGTGTAGCAGAGCCAGATGTTTGCAGTGGTGTTCATGAGTAGCAGCAGCCCCGCCTGTATGGCTGTCACCACTCCAATCACCAGCGCCGACCACAGTGCCCAGCGGATCTTCAAGTAACCGGCTGCGAAGGAGGCGATGGCTCCTGTGCAGGGGGACACAGGGAACACCATCAACACTTCACCATCACAGCATGCTGCTCCACCGTGTGCTCAAAGCCTACTGACACCCTGCATAAAACATCGTGAAGACCCCGTCCCCAGGGCACGGCAATGGGGATGAGGATGTCCCACTCACGTACCCAGCAGCGTGGAGGCGGCGTCCACCCCACCGTTGTACACCCGCCGGTTGTCCCTGGCCGGGTAGATGTCGTCCCAAAGGATCTGCACGTAGTACAGCACCAGGTAGTAGCCAGCTGAATTGAAGATCCACCAGAAGGACCAGAGCTGGAGCCGGGACTGCTTGGCCAACGCGCACACCTCCCGCAGCATGCGGCACAGCACGGCTTGGCGCCAGCCCCCCGTCACCTTCCCACTGTCCGTCTTGTCCCCACCGTCCGTCTTGTCCCCATCGGCCATCTTATCCAGCTCAGTGGGTGCAGCACCATTGAAGGCCGCCTCGGTCCTGTTGAAGAAGAGGCTGCGCTTGGGCCGCTCCAGGAAGAGGGTGAGGAGCAGGCCGAAGGTGACGAAGCCCAACGAGACGTAGTTGAGGGTGAGGAAGGAGACGCTGCTGAGCGTGATGCAGAGCTGTCCCAGCACCGAGCTGGTGAAGACGCCCAGGAGGACGGAGGAGCGGGAGTAGCTGGCCATGCGCTGGTAGCGGGACGGGGCGACGAGGGAGAAGATGTAGGAGGAGTAGGCGATGCGTGCGGCCATGGTGACACCGTAGAAAAACTCCATCAGCTGCATGGCCAAAACGGAGGTGCCCAGCACCAGCAGAAGCCAGATGGAGATGTGGCTCAGGCTCTGCAGCACCAGCACCGGTTTGTAGCGCAGGTAGTCCGTCAGCAGGAAGATGGGCACCAGCACCGCCAAGTAGGAGTACGTCAGCACCGGTGTGATCTCGTTAGTCACCTACCATGTGTGGGGGAAGGCTGAGTGCTGCGTGACCGGCCCGGGGAGGAATTCGGCCCTGCATGCTCAGCCCAGCTGAGCCCTGACCCCCTCCTGTGCTGGGAACGCGGCGTTCCCATGGAGGCTGGGAGCGGGGTCAGCAGTGCTTAGCAGGGGGGATCCTGCCTAACCCTCTCACTGCCGGCAGCCCCAGCCATGCACCCCTACCTCCCCCGTCCCCAGTAGCACAAAGCAAGCTCATCTTTCCATCCCACCAAGAACCCCCTGCACCCCGACAGCAGCTTCCAGGAATATGGGGGATAGCAGTACCCAACCTATTTTCCCTGGTGCTGGCACCCATGCTGGGAGGCGCACAGCTCAAGCCCTGGTGCCAGTGGCTGAAAGGAATGCGCCGAGGCGGGGATACACACGTCTCACCTCCACCCTCGTGAAGTTCTTGTCAGGTCCCAGCAAGTAGGGTGTGATGAAGCTCTCCCCAGGCCGGATCTGCGTCATGAAGCCATAGAAGCACAGGTAGAAGACCTGCAGCTTCCAGCGCTGCTCCGGCGCCGTCTCCGCGGGCGGCTTCTTGCCCTCGTCCTGTTGGGGCATGGCGGCAGTGCTGCGCTGGGACAGGGGCTCACGCCTGGGCACCGTCATCTACGCGGGTGCCGCTGTGCCGGGCTGCTGTGCTTTGGCTGCCGCTGCTCCCCAGTGCATCGCTGCTGCAGCTTCTGGGGGAGAGAGCAGCGTTTGGCACGGCATCAAACTCCTCCGTAACAGCAACACAAATAAACCACTAACTTCTCTCCCCAGGAGATGTTCTTGCAACAATGTGAGCCCACGGAGATCAAAAAGAGCTTTATTTTGCCGAAGGGGGCCCTACGTTTCGGGCGGTGTTTTCAAAGCATGCCTCAAGATCCTATGGATGCACTGCAATGGGGCTGTCCATCCCCCCACCCACCGCACTGCCACCTGTTTAAAAGGCAGGGGAATTTTGACCCCTCCCCAAAGCAATGTTGCCCTGTGGGTGCATTTTCATAGGGGCTCGGCCACAGGGATTTTAGAGGACCCAAAGATAATCACCCAAAGCTGTGCTGGAGTGTTACACTCAAGCAGCAGCAGCCAGGGAGAGGAGAGAAGCACCCTGAACTGTCACGAGGTTCACGGTCTGCTGGAGCATTAATGTCCAAATCCCTGAACTTGGCACCGGGAGGCCTGATTAGCAGTCATGGGATGGGATGGGGAAGGCAGAGACCCCTGATGAGTGCTCAGGCTTTCAGAAAGCACTTCCAGGAGCTGCTTTTCTGCCTATACTGTTGTGTATTAGGGCTCGTCCTGTTTACTATCTTTATTGGCGGTCTGGACAAGGAGATTGAGCGCACCGTCAGTAAATTTGTAGATGACATCAAATTGTTGGGAAGTGTCAATCTGCGTGAGGGTAGGAAGGCCCTACAGAGGGATCTGGACAGGCTGGATCACCGGGCCAATGGAATGAGCTGCTACAAGACCGAGTGTCAGGTCCTGCATTGTGGTCACAGCAATCCCATGCAGTGCTACAGGAGTAGGGTCTGGAGCACAAGTCTTACGGGGAGCAGCTGAGGGAACTGGGATTGTTCAGTGTGGAGAAGAGGAGGCTTAGGGGAGAACTCATCATTCTCTACAACTGCCTGAAAGGAGGCTGTGGTGTGAGGAGGGGGCTGGCCTCTTCTCACAGGTAACAGCGATAGAGCAAGAGGGAATGGCCTTAAGCTGGGCCAGGAAAGATTCAAGCTGGACAGTAGGAAACATTTCTTTTTAGAAGGTGCGGTGAGGCATTGGAACAGGCTGTCCAGGGAGTCACGATCTCTGGATGCATTCAAGAAACACAGAGATGTGGCACCAAGGAACATGGTGGAATGAGTCGGTGGTTGGACTAGCATGATCTTAGTGGTCTCCAGCTGTAATGATTCTATGATTGTATGACTACATCCCCCATGCAGAATTCCCTTTGCTCCATTTCATGCAACCCCACAGCCACCAATGTCCACATTCCCGAAGTTCCCTATCCCCGCCTGCATCTATCTTCCCAGACATCAGGCTCTTGGATGCCGTTCTCCCCTTCCAGTTGACATTTCAAAGCCATACGAGGGAGAGCACGTGCAAAACAGAGAAAGAAAAGGGGTCTGCAGCTCACCGGAGGAATGAAGCTCCCTCCCTTCCTCACTCTCGCAGTGAACGCCCCATTGCCCCACTGTCCTCCCAGCACTCCTTCCTACCCGGCAGCGCTCACCAAGCTCCACGTTTGCGCAGGAATCCGTGCCACCGGGACCAAGGTCTACAAATCCCGTGACCCGCTCAGCGCACGGCTCCTCGGCGCCGTTCCTAAGCCCTGTCCCCAAATAACCGCAAGTTCACGGCCAGCGCCGGCCCGCGCGGACTCGTCCCCACGGAGGGGTCCTGCCATCGGGTTGTCAAACGGCCGCCCTATGGAAAGCCTTATGGGATGCAAAGGGCTTTGGTGCAGGGCTCCCCTGAGACGCAGGCACGCGTGAGGGCAGCACGGCGGTTGTGACCTTGAGGAAGGGCCGCGGGCGGCCAAGAGGCGGCACAGCACCCGTAGAGCCCGGCCCGCTTGCGGGGATGCCCGTTCCACGGCGGGGACAAGAGCTTCGGAGGCTGTGGTGCGAAGCGGCCCAGCCGGCAGGGAGGGGGGGATGCACGACCGACTGGAGTAACCACCCCACAAACTACCCCCAAAAATACACCGCCTGAGGGGCATCTCTCAGCCTCTCATCTCCGGAGCCGAGGAACGCGCGCCTCCAGCGCCAGGTCTGGGATGCACGTGGGAGAGGAGTGAAGCGCGGGGTGCCCAGATCCCCGCACGCCGCGTCCCTTGCATCCTCGGCACCGCGGCTCCCTGCATCCCAGTGCCCCCCCTGGTGCCCGGCCGTACCTGCGCGGGGGCGGGCATAGGGACCCGGGCGGCCCCGCTGCACCCGAAGCAGGACGAAGACGAAGAGGAGAAGAACGAAAGTGGGGGGGGG